CAGGAAATAGAGGCTAATAGGGAATACTGGGCATGCCCAACTGTGTTGCCTCTTTAAATAAAGTCTTTATTATTATTATTATTATAATTATTATTTATTATTATTATTAACTGTCCCTCATTTGAGTACATTACATTACTAATGTGTACTTTGGTGTATAAATAGTTATCAATCTTGTTTTATTATAATATATCATTTAATACCATAACATTACATGTATTATAATTTGCATGTTTTGTCACTGTTAATATATTACAATATTTTATCTATTTTTGTTGTTTTGAAAACTTGTAAAGTGAAATAGGAGATTGATCCCTGGTTTTTAGTGAAAACCTGGTTTCAATCTGATTAAATTGTATCAAAAGAGAAGCCAATTTATGTTATTTGTGAAGGATGATCACAACATATACACCAATCAGATGGATCAATTTCCTCCATGTTTTGAAGGTGTCCAAGAATGAGTCTATGCTGGATCTTTCAAAATTAATATCACAAGTCATTTATCACAAAAGCACAAAACAGATGATTTATTAAAGATATATAAAATACAACAGATCTAGAGAGAACAAACAAGGTGCTGTTAGGGTATTATAAATATATGACACATTTAGAAGATTTATCACCCATCAACAGCCATCAGTTCTGAAGACATTATTAATGCATCACTAACACTTGTTGTTGTATGTTTTAACAAATTACATACTTACTAACTACATATGTTTACCATAGAACCACAAATAAAGCAGAAAAAACTTCCATTATTGTAAATATATTAATCTGACAAGATGTCAGGGAAAATTTAATATAACATCTTATAAAGAAGAAAAGTGATGACATTTTTAGAGCAATAACCTTAATCATTTCATTTCATAATGCTGTTATGCTTATGAATTCAAATGAAAAATAGAAAGAAAAGTGAAGGGAATTGTGGCCTTAAATAAAATATGGTTTGTTTCCCCTCTCACTACTGCAAAAAAAATATACATGTTTTTTTCAATATACATCATTTCAAGACAAATCATTTGAAATCAAGCCAATTAACATACCAACATTTTCACCAAAGGGCTGTAACTCCAAAACAGTCAAAATTATATTACCTCTTATGCAAAGCAATTTTTTTCTAATTCAAAGGATAAACTCAATATGGCTTAAATTTGCTGATTATCTAGCTATACCTAGATATTTTAATATAGTTGATAAAAAGTTTTTATTTCATGTTATTTATCTTGCCAGAATATTATAAGAAGTGTATACACTTTTACAATGTTCATTGTAGACAGCAGCTGTTCATGGTTGAAGTGCATCTTCATTGATTCTCCATAAAATACAACATTATTTTTGTTAATTTGTAAATCAATAAAATTCTAATTAGCTCAACAGTAAAAGCAATAATTTCTTCCAATCTGATCATAATTATTAGAACAGAAATTGTAAAAGAAATAGAGTTTAGTTCTTTTCCTTGGCAGAACTGATAAAATTTTATTACAAAAAGATTTTAATTGTCGTCAATAAAAATGCTAGAATTATTCAAAGATTTCCCTTCAAACCACAAAAAAGATCAGATTTTATATGTTATTATAAATACATATTAACATTAACACTAGCATTAAATTATTACAAATCTAATTCAGGATGTCATAGTTTGAATACTGTCAGATACAACTTTAATAATTATCATTTTATTAACTTTATAAATTTGTTCAACTTGTTTTAAAAAATTCTGTATTGAACCTACACTTATTCAATATTGTCTATTTATTTAAATAATACAGTACATCCCCTGCAAAGCAACCCTTCGGGTGATATAAAGAGTTTGGTTGTTGCTATAAAGACATGTTTGCTTAAGAGAGGTTATCGCAAGTTTCTTTGGGAAGAATTGATTGAATCCCTTACTCTGACCTTTTATTTGAATAACAGTAGATTTGACCACAAACATGTGCTCTTTTCATTTGTTAAAACAAATATGTTGTTGCTATAAAGACATGTTTGCTCAAGAGAGGTTATCGCAAGTTTCTTTGGGAAGAATTGATTGAATCCCTTACTCTGACCTTTTATTTGAATAACAGTAGATTTGACCACAAACATGTGCTCTTTTCATTTGTTAAAACAAATATGTTGTGGCGAAATTCTTATTGTATCCATTTATCTGATAATTAGATTAAGACAGGCAAGGGATATATGCATTGATACTGTTGTTGTAAACAGGTACTTGTTATTGTTCTATTGTGGACCACACTACCGAGGTTACACTGTAACAGATGTTGCGGTAAACTTCTCAATAGCTGATATCATACATGCACTTTTATGTCAAACTTATTTATCTTCTATACATTAATGAGTAAAATTGGTAAAAATGGAGAGGTGGCCTTTTTGTCAAGGTGTGTGCCTCTTAAGCCAGGGATCATGGGTTTGAGCCCACATGTTTCCTCATCATTGATCATTTGATCATTAACGCAGACTTGAAAGAGGTTCAAATTATGATTCAAACTTTTATCACAACTGAATTTTAAAACTGGATAATCATGTTTTAACTAAATTATAACCTTAATTTGAGCAAAGTCAGTGCCCTTTACAAAACACAGACAGTTTACAGTATTTCACAATTTAAATTTGACAAAAAATCCCTTAATCAAACAAAGTAGACAAATGATGAATATAAAAAGGGGGATTCAAATCTTTGTTCAACAGTTCTTTGGTTATATTCTACAATCACTTATTTGGTGGCCTATCAAGACATGAAATCTTACATATAAAGCCTATATTGTTTTACAATACTGTGTGTTTTGATGACAACAATTACCATATACTGACAACCATTTAAAACAATTCTCAAATCTTAAACTTTTCTTAAAGAATGCAGCGAATAACTCAACTGCCAACATTAATATGCCACCTATATTTTATGAATGAATAAAATATAACAAGGTTATAATGTATAATGAAGGACAATGCATGGTTTAACAGACATGTACAGCTTAATAAGTCTTTCAGTGTACCCAATACAACATCCCTTTTGTATCATAGTTTGGAGACCTTTCTGTTGAAAATGTGTCAGGGTTAAATCGTATACATATACATGCACAGTGCGTTAACTGGAGTGCGGGTATTAGTTACCCACACTCCAGAGCATGCCCATTGATTGGCTCATTTTTGCTGGGGTTTACATATTGTGACGGCAGTGAAAGTGAAATCGACAGAAATGTCATATTTAGATGCTCGTTCATTGGTTCATTTTTGCCGGGGTTTCATATTGTAACAACACGGAACGTGTTTTTATGTTTGACTATGATACAAAAGAGAAAGAACACCAAAACACTCGGTAATCTGATTAATACTCGGGGGGCTACGCCCCCTCGTACAAATCAGATAACCTCGTGTTTCGGTGCTCTTTCTATTACTTAACTACTTTTAAATCCATGGACTAACACAGTTAAGAGTTGGTTTAAATGAGTTTAAAGAAATGCTTTTTTTAAAGGCACATTATGCAACATGTTTTATAACATTTAAATAATGGTTTAAGAGTATAATTATTATATATATGCTTATCACCTGAAGAAAATAGTGCTGAATGTGAAATTTGCCATACAAGTAGCAAAATGTAAAGAAAGTAGCATTTTATCTTCTATACAAAATACTAAACCACTATCACTGTATTAATTGCCAAAAAGCAAGATTAGTCAGAATATATTTTAAAATTTTCTCAAAAAAATGATGAATGGTTTGACGAAATTGAGAGATGAGCAAGTCCATTTAAGATATAAAGCATGATAAGGTTTAAGTATTTTATCAAGGAGGGTAAGAAAAGAATCAGCAGGGTAAAATATATTATCTAACAATACCATTATTGAATTTATGTAAATGAATTGTCCGTGCTTAAATATGGAGCTATCAGTTGTTAATGTAAGGAGAAATTTAGGACATATGATTTTTTGGTATCAAAAGGTTAAAATTAAGAAGCCTGCATTACAGAGCATATTCAGGCTCTGGACATTCTCAACATATCACCAGGTCTGATTTAAAGCCCTAAGGCATGAACAATAATCTAAAATAACCTCTTTTATCCAAATAAAAAAAAAATTCCTGACAGCTACCAGAAACAAATCTGTTTTCAACTACATGTACTGTTTTGTAGGACTGTCAGTGATGGAAAAAGAAAAGGAAGAAAGGGGACAAGGGACCCCTCTCTTCTGACAACTAGAGAGATATCAAAACAAGACATTGAGGAAGTATAGGTTTAAATTGTACAATAATTCTTAATTGTGAATCTATATTAAATCAAATGTTAAGTATTTATCATGTAAGAAATACTGAGGGTCTCATATTATTATTGCAACCAATCAGAAAGCCCTTTGGCTTCTGTCTGTTCAATGTTTGGGGCTGGCTGTGAGGTCAATATAATTCTATGAGACCCTCAGTGGAAAATGTGCAGATTAGATTGATCTATCAGGACATTTTCACCCTATCACCAGGGGCAAAAATAAGGTCCAAAATCATAAATAGCCTTTTTTTCCAATTCTAAACAATTTCCCAACAGCAGTCAAAAAATAATCAACTGTTTCAACTTTTGAGAAAATTTAAACTTTTTTTTTAAAGATGTAACAGGTTATAAAATTATGCACATTTTAAAAACCTAAAATGTCATGTATAAAATAGATTTTTAACTTCTCAAATTCCCCAAAATGTTGAATTATTTTTCCCAATTTATGCCAGGGGCCTTTTCTAAAAAGAAATGGAAAAGGCCTTCTCAGTTCTGTACAATGATATCAATGTCAATTTAAGTCATTATCGCTTCAATAGTATAGACAAAATATTTTCATGTGCCAAAGATATTTTTGTTCTAGGTCAGAATCAGAGAAGGGATTGCCCATACACAAATAGCACAATATCTCACTGTGTGAAGTACAATAAGTTGGCCTATAAAAAGTAACAAATTAACAATAGTACACTGTACTATCATTCTGAAATATCAAGAGAGAAATATCTATTTATAAATTGATTACCATGACAAACATTGTTTATACAGTCCAGATATTGGTTTCCTTTCTCGTCATACATGTACTGTCCTGATGCTCTAGTTATTTTCAATGGATCATTTGCAAAGAACAAAATGCATGCCTCTCTGAAAAGAAAATGATTAAAACAATAGAAGGTTATTATATAGGACAAAATAAATCAATATCTTAACAAATTGTATATAATACAATAGCTAACTTGTCAATATGAACTCTTCATAAGAAATTGCTAAATACATCACGGATTTATATTACAAGTAGATATAAATCCGTGAATACATGTACAAAGTGAAATGTTGTCGGACATATTTGGAATCAGTTCATGAGGAATGACGAATTAAAAATAATCTCACGTGGAATCTTTGGACGACTAGGGAAATTAAAACAAAATTGCAAGAATAAGGTGTAAGTAGAAAAATAGTAGGCATACAGAGTAATTAGATTCAAAGCGAACAAATTCAAGAGTTGATGAAAATGACCTTGAACTTGGTCTTGGAAGTTGGAGTCTGTCTGGAAAATCAGCATCTCTTATAAAACAAACCAGGACACAGATCAATACTTCGCAATATAACGAAACATGAAGCTTCAATTTACCCTATGTATTTCTTCCTTAGCTGTAAAGTATCCTCTTTCGATAATTCTTCCATTTTGTATTTGACAATGCGTAATTTACAACACTTTTCCTGCTGAATGCAAACTGTTCTATGACTGTGATCGCTGCACTTTGTTTACATCCGTTACACTAATGATCACTGTATAAAATCCGATGTATACCGAATATTCACCGGTCGACCAATCGTTAGAGTTAAAATAGTGCAAAAAAAAAATCACGCCCCTTTTCGCGCCATATGTCAAATTGGCAAAATATGATAGAATAACTCATAGTAGAGATAACTCATAGTAGATAACATGTTATCTGTCGTATTGCGAGACTACTGTATATTTTTTTAAACTTTCATCAAAAACGAGTTAAAATTCTGATGTTTCTGTGCTCATTACTTTTATCAGTCTGGAGGCTGGTGGATTTTGTCAATAGTTTCATGGAGCTAAATATATTGTTTATATATCTGTGATAGTTTTTATTACATATTGATTTAAAAAAAAAATGGCACTAAAATAAGACGATAAGCATACAGCTTTTCCTGGAGCATTCTTGATTATCAAAGATGTTGGCTTTTTATTTTGAAATATTCACAAGTCTGCGTTGATATAACCGAAATGCAAGCCTTTCCAGGGTAATTAATTCATGAAGCATTCTCGGTGATGATTATCCTTCACATCAAAACTTCATCATTCGTGGGATGATGAGGGTCATTACCAACGATGCAACATCGTCGCTCTTACTGGTAGTAGTATTTTCAGTGTTCAGCAAATTGAAAAATTAAAGGTGAAACATTTTGTCTATAGCCTATGTTTAATGGGGGTCTATTCACCCGTTAAGGCACAAAAAGTAGCTTTCGCTTTTGAGTACGGACCCCGGACATGTCACCAGTCATGCCTCGGACAAGTCACCAGTCATGCCCCGGACAAGTCACCTGTCATGCACAAAGCGGTGATGATTTCATGCATCCGTGCAATTTCCCATAGTATTAGCCAAAGATATGAATGTTGAGCCGAAGGTAGGTCACTATACAGCGGACAATAACCACCTAAACGAACATTAACTAGTGACAATACATGTAATGAAGGACGTAATCCTGATAAAGGACGTCGTTGCCGGCAATCGCACCAGCTTTAAAGCCGTCTAAGGACTCGTGCACCCTTGTACCCTTCCTCGTCGTCCATGCCTACTTCCCTCGGCAGCTAACATCATACTGAGTCGCGTCGTTCTAACTGCAGACTCTAATGCGAACTTGCAATCAACTGAAATGTTATGTCGTTAATGCAATGTGCGTGTAAAGCGACCCGGCGCACGGTATAACTTTAAAATTTGACGTTAAAAATTTGATGTTAACGACGTCGCAAGCGTATTGTCTTTAACGGAGCAGCTCTTTACAGGCCAATACGTGTTTCACATGTTGTTAATTGCGGTTGATCCACTGCCTGTATATATCTGTACAAGTCCGTGTAATAGAATGTATGGTTATAAATGAGCTCTTGTAATGACGCAAACTTCCGTTCTTTCATTCTGTAACTTGATTGCTGGAGCATCGCACATGAAATTAACTATTATATGTCTTATATTAATATAATTATCATACATACGAGAAAATAAAAGAATAATACAACTAAGAACAAAATTGTCATTATTGAAAAAATATATAGACCGTTTTACAATACGATTTTCCATAGCAACGAGTTGCAGATAAAATGTGTGTTATCTCTTCCAAACAACCCATCTTAACTTCTCAAGATTTTGAAAAAAATAATTAATTACATTAATTGTATTTAAAATCTATTTATGTGACTTAAATTTTTCTGTTTGCATCACAGGCAAATCGGATAAAGGATATAATCAGGTATATTGAACACTAAAAATGCATTAGCGATCACCTGTTCTGATATTTTTTCAGAATGATAATTTATCTCGATTTCATGTTATAAAATTTCTTTTGTTTTTATATGAACTATTTCATCTTCGTTGCTATACTTAATTACCTAATGCAAACATAAAGTCCAGGCTAATGAATTTATGCCCGATTTTTCAAATGTCACGGAGTTCTTGTGATAACTCAAAATATGTCCTGAAGTTCTTATTATAACTTTTGTTACTGCCAGTGTGTTTTTGTGCTTAATTACAGAATGTTTAAGCGTATTTTATTAGTCAAAATCATTATGAAGTGAAATGTGTTTTTGTGCTTAATTACAGAATGTTTAAGCGTATTTTATTAGTCAAAATCATTATAAAGTGAAGTGTGTAAATCATTATGAAGAATAGTACGCTTATCATTTGCACAATAATTGGTTATGTAAAGTTGGTTTAAAGTGTATTTCAGTTTGAGAGATATTTTTCTTACCTCCGTTTCTTGTGTGTTTTTTTTTGTGTGTTTTGTGTTTGTTTTGGATTGTTTGTATTTGGTTGCTTGTTTTTTTTTTGTTTTTTTTTTTTTTTTTTTTTTTTTTTGGAATGACTGTAAACATTTGATGTAGAGCATTGACTTACAGGATAAAGAATACGCTTTCAATTTTATACTCAAGCATGTTTTCTTCATGTATACATCATTCCTGGCAGTTTTAGAGAACATTAAGTAACTATATATATGCTATCTGTCTGCTGAAACAAATCACTTATAAATGGTTTGCAGCAAAATAGGAAGTAGTATGCACTACCTTTATCTAAATTTAATGAGGTGGGTGACATCTTTGTAGGTAATCAACGGATATTTTAAAGTTCTATTACAATGATGACAACAAAAAGTAAGTCTTTAATAAGATATGTGAGTAACCATAAGGTTCATGTCGTATATTATTTATGTTCCTTTCTCTATTAAATCAAATATCATCAATACAGCATCACGTGACGTACAGAAATCTCCATATACTAGTATCTCGAAAAAGTATTGCATACATTTTTCTTATCAAAGTTGGAGTCATTCGGGCATTCTCCCATATAATACTCTGCAACAACTTTTGCTGTTATTGATAACAAAATATATTGTCGAACTTCTTTCGCTCGAACACGTAGGGCACGTGCAAATCTGTCGAAGAGATCGGTGGTGATCGGTATAAAAAGATCATACATTTCGGGTGCATGGGTGTGAAGGGTATCCCGGGTATATAATTATACTTGTTGTTTATGGTATAAAATGATACAAATTATTTAGCCGCTTCTTGAGGGAAGCCCGACTATATATTGTCTGCTTAAGAAAGGCAGTTGCTTAAAACATGTAACTGAGAAAAAGGTGTAAGTTTTATGTCACGGTTCAGAACTGTTCACTATTTCGGTTAGATGATGTTTAAGCGCCCGAAGAGCTCAGTTTGGTAAAGATGCGGAACGGTATTCTGGAGGTCTCGGATTCCAGTCCCGGTCAGGCTGCACATTTTTCTCACCCTGTGACATTTATATAACAATTTTTGCTTGGTGGTTTAAGCCATGTTACTGCTGAGTAAGGTGACCGCTGATTCAGGTTTTCCTGAAGACAGCCTATCACCTGTTTATCCTTTGTAGATTGTACACCAAAGCAGTTTCATGTTCAATCTACTCTTAAAAGATTTGAGGTCATTTACCGATAATTTCTTTTTTTGTTGAGAAGTGCAAATTGTCGGTATGTTTCATTGTACACCTGTATGCAACTTTTTTATAACTTCTAAGGATGAAGTGATTGCTTACAATATCCTTCATGATACAAGTTAAGAATATGTTTTTTTTCGCTGTTATTTGCAGCGTGCATTTTCAAAGTTACAGGAATGAGATCGCTTTGCTTGAGGCCAAGTTTGTGGGTGACTTTGATACCCGCAAGACAGCTCTGACATCCAGTGTCTGCCATGGCTGGAATACGAACAGCGTGTGTTCCAGCATTTAGGTTAAAACCAAAGGCTTCATAGTCCTCGAGTAATGCTCTGATTGTAAGAGTAATGAATGGTTGCGATTTAGAAGGTTTCTTTATCCAAGTATCAGATAAGTTGTCATATAGGTGGTGGTCTACAGCTAATGTCTTGTCAATGTGTTGTTTAGACATTGATGATACACTGCACAAGGTGTTGTACACAGCATTCTAATAGTCATTGGCATTGTAAGCACTAGATTTCGCTTTCGGTTTGTCCCTACTTCGGCAATCACTCTCAAAGTGGTTTTCACGATTACAGTGTTCACAACTTTGTCCGTAAGCTGGACATTCTGATTTTCTTGCACAGGCAGGAGCGTTTTTACCATGTCCTTTCTTGCACAGTATGAGCAAGTTTCGTTTTTATCGTTTGTTTCGCCTTTCTATATGAATTACTGGCTGCTGCTTGGACCTCATGAGAGTCTAATAGTCGGGAGGCAGATCGTTTTCCAGACTCTTTAGCTTCGACAAATTGTGCTACTTCTTCTAATGACATATCCTGATTCTTATCACCAAGGAGATCTTATTGTATTTAGGGGTCACATATGCCGCGTGCCAATACGTCTCTGACTATTGTGTCGGTGTAATTAACATCAGCGCTGCATGTTGGACACTTTATCAGGAATTTGCAGACACTAGCCTGTCCTCTAAGTCGTGCACAGAAACGGCGTACACGCTCATCACGATCTTGACGCATGTTGTGCAGGGAAACTCTGGCTACCATAGTGTTTTCTTCTCGAACTGCCAGTTTTTTTTTATTTCATCCATCACTTCTTCTTCAGATTTTTTAGTAAGACTGTCGCCAGCTGATCGTGTTAAGTCTTTCCGAAGTTGTTCGTCACAGCATTCTAAAAGCTGTACCCCGCGATCGCGACCTTTGATTTTAGTGGCGTCTACATAGTCAGACCATCGAGATTGGAAATATGCCCATTCCTCACTTGTTCCTGCTGTTGCTATTGTGGGTCTTCTAACTTTTTCTACTTTGGCAGTCTGTCCAGGAGCGTGTGTGGTACAGTGAGCGGTTATGAGTGCGGCAACGATGGCGGCCTCAAGGTCGTCCGTGACATAATCACAGTCTGGTATTGGTCAGCCTACTGCTGGCATTTTGATCCGTTCTTAGAAAAATGTCTTTCAAAAATGTACTGGTATTTTGAATCTCTGGCCGTGGTCATAAATAAGAACAAGGTCCATTTATTCATATGTCTTTATTATAATGAACAATGACCACGGTCAATCTGAAATGAACATAACACATATTAAAGATAAATGACT